TATAGCATAGCATTGGAAAGTTAAAGGCTGAGTTCTCAATGTCCTTGAGATCAGGAATTAAGGTTTAGGGTTCCTTTGGAGGCAAGATCCAAATTTCCAGTGTCTCCACCATTTGGTATCACAAAGATGGAAAACCTATGCTATTCTGTACAGTAGGGGCTGCTCTGGGAAAAAAAAAAAAAAAAAAAAAAAAAGACTTGGGAAGCCTGAAAGCTATCTTTCTGTTTGTTTGTTTTGTTTTGTTTTTGGGAACTGTCCATATTTTGTTGAATATCTCTGGCAACTTAAATATTTCTGCAAGGCATTCCAGGTTCAATAACTCAACATTTTCCAGTTCAATGTCTTTCACCTGAAAATTACCAATGAGTTGTAATTGGCATGCTTTTGTAGAATCTGAGTTTATTGCAACTTCGTGTTTCTGCGTGCATAAAATAAATTGCTGTATCTGCCTTTGAGGTGTAAGTGTACAACTTTTAGCATTCCAGTTTGAGTGGAAATCTAATTCTGTTTTTTATGAAGGTTGTATGTGACTTATTTTGAGGCACATCAATATCCCTGCTAGTAGAGTCATGCACCCTAAAGACGTACAAATAGAAACTAGAAGAAAGATACCACTTTTTCATTATCTGAAGCAGGAGCTTTGTTGGTTTTAATAAAGAAACCATAAAGCCTGTTGATGGGTAGTAAGGATCCCTCTTTGTTGGACTGTAGACTGTATGGTCAAGCAACTTATTTTCTACAGACAACAATACTAAGGAGAAAAATGCACTAAATATAGGGAACAAGAGAGCATAGGAATTAGCAAAAAAGATATGAAAACACGGAACTGTTTTTACAAAGGTGTGGGCTAATGAAATAGAATGCAAATTAAACTTGACAATAGTCTAATAGACGTGGTTACCCCCACTGAAGCCCATTGAAGTCTAGGTGACCTGCAGATCTCTCTCGTTCTTGTGTTGCTTTGTGACAAGTATTCTTGCTAAGGCAAATTGGGCTTTTCAGAACTGAAGATTGTTGCTCTGAAGGCTTCTAAAACAGATTTTAATGTAAATTTAACATATGGGCTTAGGGCATGTTTTGGAGCAATACGTGCCTTAAAGATATTAAAAAAGAACTAATTAAAAAAAAAAAAAAAAAAAGGAAAGACCAAAACCAAAAAGTATAAACAGGATTTTCTGATTTTCCTGAAATGAAATGGAAGCTCAGCATCACAGAAAATTTTTCTTTATGGCAACTTCCACTAGGCAGTAGAATAATTCTTGTGAAAATAGGAGGGTATTTATTATGAATGTCTATAAAGACATTCTGTCTCACATATAGGTTACTTACAGTGTAGTGATAGTATTTATATGGCAGACTTTATGCAGAATCAAAACAAAACAAAACAAGGATCCAAGATCAAGAAAGCTACGACTCAAGGGAAAGAAGTCTCTCTGAATAGGTCCATTCTGATGTACCCTAAACCACTAGGGAACTTAAGGTAGGCCCTCTTTTTCTGTCATTGTCTTTCTGTGAGTCATTATCTGGAAACAAGGATGTTGTTGTCTGATTTTTTTTTTTTTTTCCCTCTTCTAATAAGAGAAGAAGTCAGCTGTAAAAACTTAAGCCCTGAGGTTCTCCTCATACCACAGAAAGCTCTTGAATCCATCCCAGCACTGGGATGTCGGTTGCTTTTGTGCCTTATAGTCAGCTAGCTCTTGCAATCCTCTTTTTATAGGGTGGTGGTGATTCTTTCCTTTCCCTTGCAGTTCGTCTTTGACTCAGGTTGTTTATTTAAAGGTTTTTCTTGTTTTTTTTTTTTTTTTTTTTTTTTTTTTTTAGTTTTTTCCCAGCAGGCAATGAATCATTGTGTGCTATTTTGTTCTGCTTTCCATTGTTCTGAGAGCTTGTTTGTTTATTAATAAGAACAATATCAAACAGAAATGCACAGCCTTTTCATAGTCATTATTTGCAAAGCATGTTGTTCCAGGCTACCTAGTAACTGTGTCATAAATTAAGTCTGTAACAGCCACATACAAAAAATGAATAATAAAGCTAGTGTTTGTTTTGCACCAATTTAAAAATAATATATTTACACTGTCTGTGAATCAGCAGCTTTAATATTTGGCTCCAGATCTGAATATGACAATGAAATCATTTTCTCCTGCACTTTAGACATTTATTTTATGCCGATGTTACTCATGATAGAGTTTACACAACATAAAACAAAACAAGCTCAGGATCAGAAAAGCTATCACTATGGAGAGGAAAGGTTATTTCAAAGGCCACACGTTCTGGTTTAAAGTACACAATAGTTGGAAAATAAAAGTGCAAATGGATTCATATCAATATTAAGAATTAAGAGTACAATCAGGAAAGTTCAGCCTGGAAGAAATTCATAGTCTGTCTGGAGAACTACAATAAAGCCATAGTTTAAGTAAGGAAAGGAAAGGTTTCTGATGATGATGTTTACAACTGAAAAAAAGAAAATTAATTGCTTTTCTGCTCTGCAGAATTCAGATTAGAACTGGTGTGGCACCACAGAAATAGTGGAAACTTGTTATAAATTCTCTAGATGAGGCTTGCATATGGCTGGGAAGTTCACTACTGTTATTACTGAGAAAGAGAATTGTGAACTGTTTCATTGTGGGAAACTTTTGCTTCCCAAATATAGTTTTGAGAACAAATGCCACTAACAGTGGTAGGCAAAAACCATGCCTGGGAGATGACAGCTGGCAGATTTCATCACCAAATGGTCTCTGAAAGAACTAGAGGAAGGTCCTGTATTGGATCTATTTTAGACATTTCACAGGGGTATTGCAGAAGGTCATCTTGGACCAACTGACCACATGTTGAGAGTTTAAATTAAATGGAAAGTAAAAGACTGAAAGGATATGCACATGGCAATCTGAAGTTAGTTGAACAGAAGTTACTGAAGTGTGTGAATAAAGATGAAGCTTTGCATATTTTCAAAATGAAAATATAAAAATTATCTACCATCCATATCCCTAGTTCCAGAACTATTTCATTCATACAAGAAATTTCAGCTACCTTAGATTACTTAGCATAATCTGGCAAAACAGATCAATATTGTTGACCAAGTTTGCTATTTAATGTATTCAGATTGTAAACATGAAAGTTGGCAGTGAATAGCTGTAGAACTGTAGAGCTGTAGTAGCTCAGTGATACAGAACAACTGGGAAAAGGAATGGTATTTCAAACTCAATTTGAAATTGATAGATAGATGTAAATTAGTCTACCTGGGGGGTGAAAATGATCTATCATGGACTGTCAGCTGATTATGACCCCACAGAAATGAGGTTCAAGCAGCTGTATGAATACTTCATCTTAATATTTCACAGAATCACAGAATTTCTAGGTTGGAAGAGACCTCAAGATCATCGAGTCCAACCTGTGACTTAACGCTAACAGTCCCCACTAAACCATATCCCTAAGCTCTACATCTAAACGTCTTTTAAAGACTTCCAGGGATAGTGACTCCACCACTTCCCTGGGCAGCCTGTTCCAGTGCCTAACAACCCTTTTGGTAAAGAAGTTCTTCCTAAGATCCAACCTAAAACTTCCCTGGTGCAACTTTAGCCCATTCCCCCTCGTCCTGTCACCAGGCACGTGGGAGAACAGGCCAACCCCCACCTCGCTACAGCCTCCTTTAAGGTATCTTTAAAGAGCAATAAGGTCACCCCTGAGCCTCCTTTTCTCCAGGCTGAACAAGCCCAGCTCCCTCAGCTGCTCCTCGTAGAACTTGTTCTCCAGGCCCCTCAACAGCTTTGTCGCCCTTCTCTGGACCCGCTCAAGCACCTCGATGTCCTTCTTGTAGCGAGGGGCCCAAAACTGAACACAGTACTCGAGGTGCGGCCTCACCAGAGCCGAGTACAGGGGGACAATCACCTCGCTAGCCCTGCTGGCCACACTGTTTCTTATGCAAGCCAGGATGCTGTTGGCCTTCTTGTCCACCTGAGCACACTGCTGGCTCATATTCAGCCGACTATCAACCATCACTCCCAGGTCCTTCTCTGGAATGATCTTCTCTGGAATGGTCTTCTCTTTAGTAATGAGAAGCAAATAAAGTATTAGAAATTATGATGGAAAGAACACGAAACAATATAAATATTTTAGTGCGTGCTGTAGTGTAGCCAAAACACATAATAGACATGCAAAAGATAAGAGAAAGGAAAAGTGGTTGGAAGAATGATTAAAGATGTGACTTTCCTCTGGTGTAGAGAATGAGAAAACAGAGTGGGATGCTTCAGCCTGAAATAGAGAGAACTCAAAAGTGAATGATGCAGATGTCTTTCAAATCACGAGTGGCATGGAAAAGGTTTAGTAATCATCCACAGGGAATGATCAGAATCTCTTTCAATGTTAATAAAATCAAATGTAGGTAATAGGAACTCCAGTTACAGAAAAGAAGACCTAGTTTCTGCCAAGATGCATTTTGTATAGCCCTGGATCTCACCCTTCTGCAAGCTTTCCCAATGCATAGGCACCCTCCTCCTCTCATCCCCTTCACATACTGCTTACATGTTGCTGTGTTCCCTATGTTTGTGCCAAAAAGTGGTACAAAGGACTTTGCTTCTAAAAAGCTGTTGTGTGTTTGTGAATGCTGTATTTTTATTTCATTTTTCTTTGAAGTAACTATTTGCTGACTTAATGTAAGCTGCTGAAAATAGACACTTTCTCCTAATTCTACTCTTCTGTATCTGTATTTTGCCATAGTTGCAGGAATACAGAGTAAACCCAAATATACTTAGATAAACAAGAGTTTACTTTCCAGATCTCCCAAGTTTGCTGCTGATTCTGGGGGAACCCATTCCCATTCTCAAAGCTGTCAGCTTTATTTGTTTACTATTTTTTACCTGGGTGAGTGACCTGTGATATATTAACACGTAGGAAGATTATACTCAGATACAATATTAAATATACTCCCTCCTCACCCCTCCCCCACCCTATTTAATTTTTTTTGCCATGTTTCCTAAGCTCCTGTTTCTTTCTGATTTCAGATAGGGCTGAACAGTCTTTCTGCTTGTGAGATGATTGGGGCTGTAAAAAACATAGAAGAAGGGAAAATGCAAGGTATAAAATGTCTCTCAAGTATTTGAGTGCCTGTGCTTGCAAGTCTGACTGCAGTATCAGTAAGGCTTGGACATGCAGGGTCAGCAGATGTACCATGTGTTTCTGAAATACATTGCCTGCCTTCTTGATGCTGAAAATACTTGACTTCGTGAACACTAAAATGCACAGGTATTGTCCTGATTATGTTTTTTATGTCTATTAACAGGTTAAAGAGCTGCTCTGCTGCTTCTGCTAACCTGGGCTGGTAGGTGTGATGCAAACCTTGTGCAAGTCCTTCAGAGCATACATTTTCTTCCAGCTTCCACACTTGAAAACGTTAATTAATTATCAAACTGGCTGTCATAATTCAAGCACCTGCTCTCAGACACTTAACAGACACTGTTATGGTAACTGCTCTCCCATGTAGCTCAGACCAAAGGTAATCCTCCTGTCTTGTTTGTAGGTAGCCTATTTTTGTACAAAACAAGCTGGGAATCCTTCAGTATTAGTGCTTGGAAATTATTTCAGATTTTGTACAGTCCTGTTTCCCACTGCAGCTCAGTTCACCCAGATAACTTCTGGCCAGCAGGTCAGAGCACTGTGCAGAGCAGAGTCCGCTGCACTGCCCAATTTGTGGTGGCCCTGCTCACTTGGCATTGGAGAGATCCTCCTGCTGCAGGTACCACTCAGCTCAGAAGGGTCCTGCCTTGTTTGTAAGCTGTCATGGGACCTTGGATTAATTCTTCATGATGCTTTTTCTCCCCTTTGTGTGTGTGTGTCTGTTTGTGCTATGGTTTGTATTGTTAGGCTGAAAGGTTTCTGAATTTCGTATTATCCCCTTATGCTGTTGTGAATATAACGGACCCCTGCACTCTTTCAGGCCTTCCATTTCTTCTGCAATGTGGATGATTACTAAACCAAGCTCTGTATGAGGCCATTTATTTTCAAATGTGCTTTTCTTATCAAGGTGAATGATGACCAATACTTCAGAATGCAGTGAAATAGAGCTCTAGTGAGGATACTGTCAAATATCCCTCTGAGTTTTTAGTCTTCCTTTTATATATATATATATACATATATACACACACACATTTGTTAGCAACTACCTATATAAAAAAAGCTTTATGATTGAGCCAGTTGTTGAAAGGCTCTGAACTTATGAGCAGTTGAAAGAATACCTGTGTTTACATACTAGTTTGCATCAGAAATAGGCAGCTTCTCTCCTTGAATGTTCTATAATTTTCATAATAACTGCTGTTTATTACGATAATTTAGTTATAGAAGAGGTTATTAGGAATATTAAAATAAAGGAAAATTTACAAAAGACTAACCAGCAATTTTCTTTTTAAAGACAGGCCTTTGCCTGTCTTTAACGAGGTGGAACATAGCAAGATCTGCCTTCTCTCTGATAAAGTAGAAGTGTCACTAGCTATTAGCATACTGTATACATTCACCAGAGATACTGTGGTGCAACATATAGGGCAAATGGTAATTTTATGTAAGGAAAAATAAGCAGATGATCACGTTATTTTTAATCTTCAGTGTCTGGTTGACAAACATGGCACAGTCATAATTTATTTTAAGGCAATGTAGCATTCAGAGACTTATTTTTTGTCACATTTATTAGATTTCATTGCAAACAAAAGGACTGAAAGGGGCTCTGTCATTTGCTTTTGGAAAATAATTTCAGATTGATGTGAGTGAGAAGAAAAATCTTTTAATCCATGTAGTTATAGTTTTCATTTCCTGTCCTATAAGCAAGTCTAATACAAGAACCCCATACATTTTTTTCCACACATATTACAGGCTTTAAAAATCTATTTAACAGCCATTTGCATGGTTACGGAAATAACACTAAAATTTTCCCCATAAGAATGTGAGCTATATTTCTTTCATACTGTGCTGTGAAAAAAATGCAGTAACATTAGATGTGTGTGTTAAGGTAAAATGGAAGGAAAACTCAGGATGTAAATGATTGACTGTTGGCCTTTAAGAAAGTGCAATTAGTCTTTAAAGTTACCATTTACTGAGACTTGTGGTTCCAGTTTGTCCCTTGCTGCTGCTGTTTTTGTTCTGTACCTGGCCGAAGACTTAAAAAGAAATGGTATGTGGGATTTAATTGCTTGTACATAGGGTGGTTAAAACTTACTAATTTTTTCAGTGAGAAAGATTATATTTTTAGAGCAGGAAGCAAAATCTTTAAGGTGCATCATGAAGAAAAATAAAATCCAAATATATGGATTTTAATTGATTGCATTGTTTTCTAACATTTTATTAGAGCAAGCAAAGGCAGTAGTCTGTTAAAAGGCAGGTCATGCTTGTCCAACCTCATCTCCTTCTATGGTCATGTGACCAGACTGGTAGATGAGGCTGTTGATGTAGTCTACTTAGACTTCATCAAAGCCTTTGCCATGGTCTCCCAAAGTATTCTCCTGTGGGAAACTGGCTGCCGTTGGTCTGGACAGGTGTGCTCTTCTCTGGGTAAAGAACTGGTTAGAGGGCTGTGTCCAGTGGGTTGTGGTTAATGGAGTTAAGTCCTGCTGGTGTCCCATTACAAGTGGTGTCCCCCAGGGGTTGGTACTGGGGTTTATCTTGTTTAATATCTTTATTGATGACCTGGATGAGCGGATTGAGTATACCTTCAGTAAGTTTGCAGATGACATCAAGTTGGGAGGTAGTGTTAATCTGTCTGAGGGTAGGGTGGCCCTTCAGAGGGGTCTGAATAGGCTGGGCTGCTGGGCTGAGGAGAATGGGATGAGGTTTAATAAGGCCAAGTGCCTGGTCCTGCCCTTTGGACACAATAACCCCATGCAACACCACAGGCTTGGGGCAGAGTGGCTAGAAGACTGTGAAGAGGAAAAGGACCTGGGAGTGTTGATCAGTGGTCGGCTAAACATGAGCTGGCAGTCTGCCCAGGTGGCCAAGAAGGCCAACAGCATCCTGGCCTGTGTTAGAAATAGTGTAGCCAGCAGGAGTGGGGAGGTGAACATCCCCCTCTACTCAGCTTTGGTGAGGCTGCACCTTGAATACTGTGTTCAGTTTTGGGCTCCTCAGTGTGTTCAGTTTTGTAACACCCTAGGATTCGTCTGTGGAAATTCTAGTTTTACTTACCTTCTACTTACTTACTTTCTGAGCAACTCCCTTGTGATGCTCAATACATCCGAGTTTCCTTAATGCAGTAATTTCTGCAGTTGTCCTCTTGGTCAGTGTTAAGTAACTCTTTTGCATTACTGTGGCCATTTTTTAGAGAAATCAACTGTAACAGGTCAATGTAAAGTTAAAAAAACAACAACAACAAAAAACACAAAACAAACAAGTAAAAAAAGCAACTCCCCGTCCCAAACAAACAAACCATCCGTTATCTTAAGTCCTAACTTTCAGTGTCCTAATCAGAATATTTTGAATATGTAAGGCTGGTAAGACATCTAGAGTAAGTAAAACAGAAAAACTGAAGCAACAAGTTTCTTTTAACTTATCCTTACAAGCCATTTAATGGAAATATGGAAATAATAATCCCATGTGAGATTCTGATGATGTTTAATTCTACTGTTTGTTAAATACTAGCAGTTTGCCATTGTAATAAATTGTATGACTCAGTGTCATTAAAACTAAAAATTTTTATATTTTTTCTACCTTGCTTCTGTTGTACTGATTGTGTTTCTTGGTCATATGTAAATCCTTTGATTGACAGATTCCTGAAGAACTAGGGAAAGAGAATATGTTTAAGTGATAATCTCTTATTATGCTGAGGCTTAAAGCAAGCAATCAAGGCATAAGTGCAAGATTATAAACCAGATCTTATACATTAAAACATATTGGAGATGCTAGTTCTCCTTTTGCACAACTTTTGTGGTTTTGAATTCTGATTTGAAATGACACTCAACTCTCTTAAACTTGATTAAAATGGTTCTTTAAGAGATTTCCAAGTCTGAGAGACATCTGGTATCAAGGTGCATATAAAATAAAATTCACATCAACCAATTTCTCTAAATGAAAGGAACGGTCTGTGGCATTTCTTCATATTTTTGAGGCAGGAAATTGCTGTTTCTTGCCACTGTCTGTGTGGTAGGAGAAATACAGGGATCCTATAAACTGAGGTGTACTGAGGAGGTCAGTGGTAATGATGAAATGATCTTTTTGCTTATCTTGGAAGAGATAAGACTGATTTTGTGTGGCATCATCTAACACACAGCTATGCATTTTTCTTAAAAGGAATTTACTATTTTTTACTATTTGCAGATACTTTGGGAGGCAGGCTTAGGTTTCATATATCAGGTTATCAAGTTTTCTGAGTGAAGAGTGGATACTGTGTGAGCTGGTAGAGTTGGAGACTGCTGTAAGATGTCCCATGACTGAGTTGTGGGAGGAAGTCAGGAAACCAAGCACCAGCCTTTTTCCTTTTTCTCGTCATGTACCCCATTTCTGCCCAAATTCCAAGCTATAAGCTTATTCTTTTAAGGCTGAGGTAAGTGGTTAGAAGCAGACAAGAATGCAACTATTCACCTTCTGTGGTAGGCTCAGCAGCATTAGATATCCGCAATGTGTACCACTGAGAGGGGGTTTGGATCAAATGCTTTTAGGCTAACCAGAGAAAATGTGGGAAATATTGAGAACACTTTGATTCAGCCAAAACTGCTGCTTGGTGAAAGATTTTTTATTATTATTATTATTATTATTTTTTACAAGTTAACAGGTGAATCTATTGACAGAACATTCTAAAAAACTACTTCATAAAATGAAATATTTTGAAATCTCTTATACAGTTAACAGATGAATTAATTAGAAACTAAATTATCTATGCAGATAACCAGCACGTGGGTCAATGCAAGGTTATCACAAGAGCTGGGTATGACTAGTGCTTAAGAAAATAAGTGGAATTTGTGATAAGCTGTGTTTCTTAAATTGAATCGAGCAGTTATCATAGGCACAATCCAAATGCATGTCTCTACAAATACATGTGAAGGTATAAAAGCAGAAAAGAGGTTTAATTTAATAGAGAATCCTGCTTTTCCCCATTGTCAGTGGAGGCAACCATGTCATCATGAGAAGGTAATAACAGGAGATATTAGTAAGAGACAGGTTTACTGCCTGAATCTTGAAGGTTTTTCTACTGCATAGCTCAGTTCAGTAACAACTCAGTTCGCTAGTGGTGGGCTAGGATGATTCTTTGTAGTAAAATGACCAGGAAATTCAGAAAGAAATTGCTGGGTTAGGGGATGTTATAAAGGGGATAGAAAAGAGAATGGGTGAAAAAGGAACTTAAGT